AAGGCCAAAGACGAGATATATGGATGTGCTGAAAGAGGACATGAAGGTAGTTGGTGCAAGAGTAGAGGATACTGAGGACAGAGTTAGGTCTAAATGGATGATTCGCTGTGGCGACCCCTAAACTGGGAACAGCCGAAAGGAGAAGAAGAAGTAATGAATACGAGGTTGGACACACTCCTGCATATTTCACAATCCCTCTGAGTGTGCATTTTCATCCTGACTTCATCCACTCTGATATAGTATATTTTTCTACTGAAGGCTGTGGCGCAGATGTCTTTGTCTGAGAGAAGAATATAGTTATGGAACGAATCAAAATAAAATGATCATCTCTCTTTTTATTGAGATGGATGATCTGAGGCACACAGTAGAAACCTGCACTTTTCTTTTTTCCACTTGTTTCTCTTTTGCATGTACATAAATCGAAATGGAAAACAAATATGTTTTGTTTTATTTGCATTTTATTCAATTAATATGACACTAATTCATATGGACATGAACAATCAGCTTTCCCAGAACATAGAAACATTGAAAAAACTGGTTAATAATTGTATTTATAATATTCTAAAAATTCGAACATTAGACTGAACGAGTGCTGGCAGTGAAAAAAGAGTTTTGGGGTGCGTTTTTCGCAAGGAGAAGGACCAATGAAAGTTGGCCCTTTTGATGATGTAAGTAGGACCTAAAAGAGCCAGTCGGTGGCGCTCACATCGTGCTGAATGGCACAGCTCAAATCCTCTCTTTCCCAATATTTTTGTCAAACAGCTCCCTGTGATCAGCCACCAACATTATAAATGCTTGACATCCATGATTTCTTCTATGTGTTCTTTGTTTCTTCTCTGTCGTCGTTTTCTTCCTGCTCTTCTTCTTTCCTGTTTCTTATATATATATAGATGTACATTGTACATATATATCCGTAAACGAATGCCATCTCCAGGCAGGAAGCATCATCACACCAATATTTCCTTGATGCAGACATTGAGCAGCCTCTTGAGAAGCACCTTGTGCGAATATCAATTCGGATCAGTGTGAAGATGCCTTAAAACTCTGCAGACCCATCTCTGAGTTTTAATCATTAAGACATCTTTTTTATTGACAAAGGTCCTAAAAGATATTACGCGTCATTTATTTGATTTCAGCTGAAATTAATAGTCATGCTTTTATTGCATATTTTTATTTTTTATATAAACATAAACAATTCGTTTTTTTTTTCAGAGTGATGCTTATATTTCCTATCTGCTGCTCTTTTCCCCATTCTCTCAGTGGGTACCAGTCAAGCACCAGTTAAGCCTGGCCCTGAGGCTTTCACTTCCTGTGAGCACTGGCTAAAAATAGCTCTGTTCCCTCTCTCATACTTTTTTCCATTCCACACACTCTTTCTCTCACTGGGCCTTCTGCCTTGTGCTTTCCCAAGGCAACTATGCCTGCTGACCAAGATAGAAGATTAAATCCTAAAAGGAGTGTGCAGAATGCTATTAATGCACAAATAAATCCTGCAGAAATAACTGCAAGAGTGAGCAGTTCTACAGCAGCACAGTCACAATTAAGGTATTTGCTTGTGGCGTACGTAACGGCTCATGCTCACACCAGCAGCTAATTCCCAGTGGTGATAATTATACACACACACACACACGCACACACACACACACAAACTCCACCCATCCACAATCCGGCACGACTCTAAAAATAAACCCTCAGAATTCTGTTCTTCTCATAGTAATTACAGGTTTTTGGAATCATCCTCTTAAATTTGGTTTAACATCCAGTAGATGCTTTATACACAAGAAGCTTGATATGCTCTCTGATCTCAAGCTATGGTAATGATAGCATGGCACTGTTAATTGAGGAAGCTGTGATAACGAGTTCCGTCGATACTGGTCTCTAAGCAGTAGTTTCTAAGAAGAAGAGATGTACGATGAATGTCACAGTTTATAAGTTGCTACGTAATTCTTTCTACAATAAAATGCAAATAGAAATAATTTGAGGGTCAGCTACAAATAACAGACACCTTATTTGGCAGAATTGTTCACTCTTTAACTTCTATACGTACATGAACTTATGTCCTGGGGTTTTTAACATGCCACATACACACACACCTGTTGCAGATATAACAGCGTTGATGCTTCTAGGAAGTTCACTGACACCAATGTTGGACAAGGAGGACTGGCTTCCAGTAAAAAAAAAAAAATATTATATCATAAGAATATCTAACCTGTAATTTGATGTCTATTGGAGATGATTGTTCTGTCTTTCCTTGGCTTCATTATCCAAATTAATGCATAACTTCTGTTCCCCACTGTGCTGCAGTAAGCTACTTGGCCTGCTATATCTACCAGTGATGCAGCTTCAGAGTGAAGATCATTTAACATTGAGTGATAGATGCGTTAGCTCACAAAATTTTTCAAGTAGCCTGTCCAGCATGGGAGGTTTGTAGCATCTGAAGGCAAAAACATGAGGATCTCCGTGCACTCACCATCTGCTGAGCCCGTTCTGTCATTTTACATGACCTAATTTATATTACATTCCTGATACCTTTAGTTTTGTTATAATTACATTTCACTTGACTATGTATTATTTCATGACTTTTATTCTTTCAGATACGAGGTCTGCATACCAGGGTTCTTGATTTTATACAAACAAGGCCACTGTGCAAGAAATCATCCCCGTGGAAACTGTCTGTCTGACATAAGCTGTATTTTTTTTTCCAAACGAACCTCTTCATTTAAGTCGCCCTGTTAAAAACAGAGATTCACTGCATGTGCAAGCACACCTTAAACATTATTAATATGTCCAAAGCTAAAAGCTGTGTTTAAAAAAACAACATCTATTATTTTAGACAGCTAAATCAGGCTTTCCTGTGGCTCAGTTGGTGGAGCATAACACTAACAATACAAAGATCGTGGGTTCATATCGCAGGGAAAGCAAGAACTGACAAAAAAAATGTGTTCATTCTTTCAAAATCAAAAAATGAAAGTGTCTGCCAAATGTAAAAATGTAAATGTCATTTTGATATAACAAAATAGCATCAAATTGAATACAAGATGAAGAATACAAGAATAAAAATGAACCTATTTATAGAATTAATGAAATCAATTTTTTAACAAAATAATCTTAGAATTATTAAAATGTTTTAAAATATTCTTACATGGGCTAGTACAATATTATAGGTTGCATAACAATCAGCAAAAAGCCAAAGATGCAAAGCATTTGAACTTGGTCTCAGAGGCTTACTTCTGCAAAATAAATGGTGTTCAGGTTTACCTTGTTCAATTTGTGACTTGTTGACACGCTGTAGCATATGCCTTGTTTTGTCACATCATTGCAGTAATTCATTCAGCAGAAAACTTTTCTAGCAGAGTATGAAGTGATTTTTTTAATGACAATATTAGGTACTAAAAAAAAGATGGCACTGCTGATGCAATGGATATTGATTAATTCACATCCTGCTATTACAGAGAAAGGAAAAAGCTAGCTAGGATGTAGAGGGAACAATAAGCTTGCCGGCATGTAGAGTCTTGTTCCCACTGAAAGCAGTACAGTGAGAACAAGTCCATGGACGTTTTATATAATTTCCTGAAACTTTGAACATTTCCCAACCAAAAATTCTCATCCACCATTATTTTTGACAGTTGGCTTTTTTGTCACTTTTTTATTAACAAAAGAGGCAGACCCAACAAATTAGCTCGAATATGATTGTAGTTAGGAAGGACAAAGTGAAGGAATAATCCATGTTAAACTCCAGTAAGTGAAGTATTTTATTCTCTCTTTAAATCAGCATCATCAACCATTGAGATAGTACTTATCTAGTGAACATTAGCTTGTTTACAATCACTTATTCCATTAGCACTGCATCCAACACACCGAAGCTTTGTTTATCTGTTAAGCTGTTTATTTATGATAATTTTATCTTCTTTTAATTAAAGCACTTTGTGTTTGATGTGCTACCGTTTAAATAAACTGACAGAGAAAACGGAAATGGACATTTGTCACTTGACATTTGTCAAACATGTATTATTATTAATATTGTTGGGTTTTTTTATCTCACAAAAACAGCCATGTTTCAATTTAATTATAAGTTGATGGCTTGACTGCAAACAATATAACAATGAAAAATCAGCTTTTTCATTAAACGTGAGAAGAACTTTGAAAATAATCCTACTGACAATAAAAAAACCCTCCTAGCTGAACCCTGACTAAAGATAAAAACAAAGATTTTCACTGCCTGCATATTTTATAAGTACAGTTTGACTGTGATCCCCTCCAAAAAATGCCTTAAAAAAATGAAATATGTGAATGTTTTTTTTTTCTTTCCTTTTTTCAAGTAAATTGTAATAAAATGCTGGAGGGTGAGAAAGTGATGATAGAATTTTGACTTTGAAACAGAATAAGTTGTTTGGCATAATGAAATTGGGAAAATTGTGTCTTTTGACTTGTGCTTTGCTTGAGTGAGTGTGAGAGACTGCGGGAGTTGGGTAGAAACTTCAGTCTCAGGTTTTCATCCCGAAGGCATACAGGCAGTGTCCCGTAACACTCAGTCCACTCACCCTGAACTATCTGTACTCCCGCTACTGTCTCCATGTCCCGCTTCACACAGAAGCTGTGGAGAGTAACGATTTCAATGGAGGTGAAGGAAAACCTATCCTTCCTCTCAGCCCTCCCCTAGTGCCTTCACATAACAGAACTTCCATCTTTCCTTAGGCCCACTTCGCTTTGTCCCTTTTTGGCTTTTCTTTTGAGTCGCACTCTCTCTTCCATGTTCTCCACTTTGCCACTTTTCTCACGAGTCGAACAAAAGCAGGGACAGTTGGGTGTCTAAATGGGGCACATCTTCCAGGTCTGACGGATGCCTCTGGAACACTCTTATCCAAACAGAAGCCTTTGAACGCACCCTCTGTCTCCATGGCGGTCATTCATTGTGTCAAAGTCTTCAGCTTCGGTGTGTGGGCCAAATGCAGGGCAAATGTTGCCTAAATGTAGATGGACACTTTAGCCAAAAGGCACCTTTTTAGATGTTATCTTCATGAAAGAGGGGATTACTTGTGCTCCTCTTTTTTCTGGTGCAGAAGAAGAAGGGAAAAGGGTATGTGACTCCATCTATCTCTTGAGGCCCCTGGCTTTGAAAATCAGTAAACATTTTAATCCAAGCTTCAGACGAGCCGACCTCTTTGGTTTTCAGTTTAGACAAAGAGCCAAAAGAAAAACGAGAGATTATAAAAAGGGAAGACGAGGCCATTCGTGGGTTGTTAGTGTGTTACTGTACATTAGCAGAATGGATGTGACCCTTTGATTTCCTTTTTCAGGCATCATCGCTTACACTGAGTATCTCTTTCTGCTTTGCATTCTGACAAGTGAGTATGTCCCTCCATCTTTTCTTTGTCTGGCATCCAATCTTATCCCATGCTTTATTTCCCAGTCCGCATTTCTTTTGAAAGTAGAATCTTGCTCATTGGTGTATTTTAAACAAGATTCAAAGATTGCTCCGTCCATATCTTCCCTCTATAGTGTATACTTTACTATAAGGCCACCATTCCTAATCAAATGTGCAGTCGATGCTTCAGAGTGAAAGTCATAAGGCAAGTCTTACAACAGTAGTAACCACCCAGCCATAGACTTGGTCTATAAAGCTGAAAACATACAAGAATATGTCATTTACATAAACTGTGAAGACACGGATGAAGAAGAAAGCTAAATTCAACGGACAGTACATTGGAAAAGGCAATTTTGTATAGCTTCAATGCATCTTACAGCAATAGATTTTACATTTCTCGAAATCCCCCAAAAAGTTGCCCACAAAGTGTGGCCAACTATCTTTCTCTGTTTCTTTATTTATTTATTTCATCATCAGGTTTTAAGGCAATTATATACAGATTTTTATTCATTTTGTAAAACCTTTTGATTTATTTATTTATTTTTTTAAGTTCAAAACTTTAAGAAGGCATATGAGTTAGCCCTGAAATTCAAAACTTCATTTCTGAAATTTGAAATTAAATCCCCTCAAAATTGCTAATTTTCCAGAAATCATTAATTTAGGGAGCTATTGTGTCTGACATGGCAGAATGGTGGCAGAGTGGGTTTGCACGGTGGCTTTTCAGGCTCACCATTGACCTTCCTGGAAGGAGTTTCCATGTTTGTACAGTTTTTCCCATCCATCCCCACTCTATAAAAATAATAAAGGCATTTGGTTATGTACCCATGTATTTATGTTAGGCCTTGCTTCCCTGTTCATTTGGGTTTTTTTCTACGCTCAAACATTTTTGCAGCTTTCCCTCTTGTGCTGTACTTGTTCCCACTCTCATTAGCCTTGATTATCTGCACCTGCCTCCCACTCTGGGTCCCACAGTGCTTTGTCCGTTCTCCCTTATTTATTCTTGTCTTTCGTTCATTATTGTGCATGTATTTTCTGAGCATGTTACCAGGATCTACTTATATCTGTTTGCTGTGCAAGCCAGTCACCCTCTGTTAAACTGCTGATGAATATTGTAGTTTATTTATTCTGTTCTTTTTATGACATCCTGTTTTTTCTTCCAGTTTAGTTAATCATGCTTTTCCCTTCCAAGAGCTTTTCTGTTCATTGCTCATCAGTAAAAACCATTTTGAGATTGTGCTCTTGGGTTCAGCCATTTTCCTTTACAAAACAGGGCAAGCCCCTAACAATATAATCTTTTATGTGAAACAAATAACACCCACCTTACAAATGCATGACTGAACTGAAAGCAATAATTTGTTTTTCAATTGTCTCAATGTGAGATGCTTGTCGAAGGCAGTTTCATCTCAGCAAAGTTATTCCTAAAATAATATTATTATCTTTTCTGCTGTTTCTTGGGCAACACAATATTGTTGTGACATGTGGTTCTTGAAAGTTTTTAAGAGAAACACTTTAAGAGAGTGATGAAAGCAAGAGTGTTGAAAGCTTAGTGAATAAGAAGTTCTTGGGGTATGTAGGTATAACATATGTAGGCCTCATCTCTGTTTCTGATTGCACCACCTAGTGGTTAAATGCTACTGATTAGTTCCAAAACACTGTCCATTAACAACTTTTATATTTTAATTATTATAATTATGTTTTGTGACACTTTGTATTTGTTCTTCAGAGCCTCACGCTGGCTTTAAGATTGCCTTTAACATGTTTGATGCTGATGATAACCAGATGGTGGATAAACATGAATTTCTGGTGGTGAGTGGATAAACGGTAGCGTTTGAATGATTTTATTAATCGTTATAAATGTCACTTTTGTTTACTTTTCATTATTTCTTGTAGTTGCAAGAAATATTTCGGAAGAAAAATGAAAAGAAAGGAAGGAAAGGAGATGCAGAGATATCTGCCCAGCTGGTAAGATGAGAATCACAATAAATTCACAGAATCTTTTGTATTATTTAAGTTGTTTTAAACGCACCTGCTTTTTAAAAAGTCTATACAAAGATTTGTTTCCTGAAGCAAACAAAGACATTTTGATACAGTGAAACTCTCACTACACAAACCAAAGTGCTCTGATGTTGTCTTTTGTTATTCTTCTGTATAACACAATGTTTTGAACCATGGTAACCAGTTTCCAGAGCAATGACATCTGTTAGATCATCTATGGTTTAGTTTTAAATTAATAATTTTAAATTGGGCTTGTTAGTTTACAACTTCAATTCGCTTGAGGCACTTGTCATTAATAATTGTGTCAAATGGTTTCAGAAGAACAAATTCATTGTTGAATCCATCATTTAAATTTTAAGGTTAAAATGTAATTATCTTTGTTACAGTTCCTTTTTTGTGACTCATTAATTCAAGACATTGTAAACGTTATGTCAAACTATTCATATGAAAGAGTGGCATCCATTAATTCAAAACCACAACTAGACAGAGGTGTGGACTCGAGTCATTCATTTGGTGACTCGATTTGACAATATGGCAAAGACTTGCGACTCAACTTGGACT